ATTACCCACACCTCCGCCAGGTATGGCATTAGCACCGATTTGACTATAACTCTGCAATAATTCATTGCCATAATTTTCACTGCTATTGTTGTTGCTGCTGCTGGTGTGATTTAATAAATTGCTACCGTGACTGAAGCTGCTGTTTATATTGTTGCTGCCGGCATTGCTATTGTTATGATTTATGAATGCAACGTTGTTATTGTTATTGGCCACTGCAGCTGCTGCTGCTGCCGCTGCGGCAGCGGATGATCAAGTTGTTGTCAATTGTCGCCACATTGTGTGTCACATCGATGGCAAATATGGCCAAGAGAAATTATTACCAGAAAGCACCATATCGCGGATTAACGTTTCAATTGGTGTTTTACCGACTAGACGCACAAAAAACAATTGCTCAATGACCTTCAATTAGAATGAGATGAAAACATTTGTACGATTAAAATCAATTTTCAAGAAAGTTATTTCGAAAAATATAGGAAAGGTTTCTGTTTGACTTATTAACAATCAGTTCAAAATTTTAATTAAATTTTTTAATTATTAATTAACATATAATTAAAAACTATGTGTTGTAATTATAACTTTGTTCTTAGTATTTAAGCTTGATTTAGGCTACTATACTAGTAAGTACAAACAAATCGAGAAAAAAACTGAAGCTTTGAAGAAATCTAAATTATTATAGTACATTAGAGTTTAATGTTTTCGACTGATTAAATACAGTAAACATGGCACTTTTACTCTTTGAAGGCTGGGTGGTTTTTGCACTGTCCCACCCATCTCATTGACTAATTTGTGTTTTCCTCATAAGCTTCGTGATTATTAAAATTGTTTTTGTTGTCTATAAAAAATGATAGATAAATCTTTATATACTTACTTGGGAGGAAACTGTTCTTAAAGATGGCAGCCTTAATAACAATTTTCCAAATCTTGTTGGTTGATTAGGATACTGCGTACGGCAATACTCCTCTAAAGCGCATTGGGATTTCTCTTGCAGGGATTCAATATGTGTAACATCGGAAAGACCACAGGCATCTATTAATAAAATAAAATATTATACTACTTAACAAGAATTCTCACAAATATTTATTATCATAAATATAAAATAGTTAAATTATTAAAGAAATAAAATAGTTAAACTATTATGGTTAACATATATTATTATATATTATATATCTATATACAATATATGGATAATATGAGATATATGGTATATACCTACATAATTTAATTTTATAAATACGTGTAGTTTTTTACTATATAAGGATCCTATATAATTTATAGGATCCTTATTTTTTTTATAATTTAATTTTATAAATACGTGTATATAAGGATCGATTTATGATATCTACACATTATTATTTCTAGAATAATAACTTTTCTTAATCTTACGCTAAATATTTTCAAAATACATATATTAATATAATATCTGAATCTTAATAGACTTATAATTATATTTATATAATATACATACATACAAACATTTATATAATATAATTATAATATATCAACTATGAATAAATATTACAATATTGCAATATTACAATATTGCTATATATTATTAAAGCTTAATAAACATTTAATGGGTTTTAAGAACATCATGAATCATCTTCTTGATTCATTTAGATAATATAGAGAATTAATATAGAGAATATTAATAAATATATAATTGTAAGAACATGAATCATCCTTTAGATTCATATACAGAATATTCATATATATGCATATTTTGTATAATATATGTACACATTTGAATTTCTTACTATATTAAAAACCAATATAGCGGATTGTAGATATTTTTGATGATACACATGCTACCGATTTTAACATCCTTGACTCCATTCCTTCAAAATCGTTATTAGCTATGATTTGTTTTAGATAGCTATCTATTACGTTTATTAACATCATATATTGTCGTTGATTATCGAAATAATGGTCTTTTGAAAAAAGGTTAGTGACGTAATTTAGGTCTTGACATTTTGTCAATTTAGAGACCAATTGCTGTAATATTTTATTACTTACGGTTTAGGCCTTACTTTGGGTCTAGACAGATAGATTTTGAACGTCTTGAGAACTTGTCACTGCATCCTTTGAGGATTATTGTGACACACTCACTTTAGTTCCATAGACGAGTAGTAGTTAAGAACGCTACATTGTGGCTAACTTTTGAAGCTTTAGCTAATGGGTTCAACACAAACTTTTTGTGGGACTCTATGAAGACTTCTATTGTCTATATTAAAGTTGAGATCTGGTTAAATTTTAAATTTTTATTTGGGCAAAACTTTTTGTGATTTGAATATAATAAACATAGTTTCGTGGGTTGATAAGTCAAAACTAGTTTAAAGTCTTCGATCACTTATAATGACTAATGTCATCGTATTACTTCTGATAACAGTGTGTAATTTTTATTTTATTTAAAAATGTTCTTGGTTTGAAACAGTTGACTTTAAATTACGCCATGAGAGGTATTAATATACACATCAGTTAACGACTTATATGACTGAAAGGCACGTATATTTCCGAGTTAGAATCTATATATATAAAGTCTAACTGAAACAAGTTATTGTGAATTATTAAAGGCAAAAAAAAATAACCGATTTACTATAGAGAAAACAACATGAATATATTATTTTATTATTGTTTAATCAGAATTTTATAATTTCTTGGCATATTTCTGAATTCACATTTTCGATGTAATTGACATTCTTAGATCACCATAATTTTTATAAGGTTAAGAGCTTATTATTCTCGTATATTCTCATATAATTGATATATATTGATTATCATATATATTGATTTATACAATTTAAGCAATTAATTAAATTAAAAAAAAATTAAGATTATAGTTATCATTTATTATATACTTGAAGAGTCACGTTGAAAGTTAGTTCAATTATGTTTTTTTCGAATATGTTATGTGTATTTTTTTTGGTTCAATTCTTAATTTTTGTTAACTTATTTATTTTTTTTAATTAATTTTCATTTTATGAAATTTCGCTATAATTAATTTTTTTTCAAATAATTTGTTGAATATTCTGTGGACGTCATATATCATTTCCGTTTTATTTTATTTGCTTAACAGCATTTATTGGCTTTATGCAAATATTATTTTAAATAAATAACTGAAGTCAAAGAGGTCAAGCTAATGGACGGGTACGAAAGGAAAAAAATTAAATAGATTTTTAAAATATGCAAATTTTTTCGCTTAAATAACTTAATAACCTATTTTAAAGTGGCTGTGTTAATAATACAATATATTCAGTCTTGCACTAACGAATTCCGTATCGCAAAATCGTAGAAAATTAATTTACGGGGAGTATATTAAAAATCATTAGGGTAGTAGGGTTGAAAGTTAATAGTTGAGGTAAAAAAAAATGTACAAACATGATAAGTATATAATGAAAACGAGCTTTATTTTCACCTTCACGCATATCACATTAAAAATTAATTAATAAAACTTTTATAAGTTGCATTGAAATCGAAATCTTTTGACTTGATTTAGAATAATGTTTGTTACGAATGAATAAAAATTTTTTTAAATAATTTGAACCACTTATCAGCTTATCATTTAACTGCAATATATCTAAAACCAAAATATTTAAATGTTTAGTTTTCACGTTTTCTACGAAAATCATATTAGTATGGATCTGTTTCTTGAATTCACTTAAGTGCGAAATGTAATAAATCCTACACTACCTTAAACAAACATTTTTAAGCCATCACTAAAAAACAAACTGACGTTAACTTATTCAAAAATCACATATCTTTATATTTTAGATTAATAAAAACCCAAGTACCCATATTGCTGCAGTCTCTCTCAAAAACATACCGTCGGTTCTGATGAGAAATTAAAATAAGGTAAAAAACTTAAGTTCCCAATATAATATATCTCTAATATTTAAAAATTATTAATAATACTACGCAATGGTTACTACACTCTAAAAAGGGATTCATCTACTCAAATATGTGAATCTAAAACTAGATATATGCTTCACATGGTAAACATATATTAGGAGTGGAAAAGCTTTTTGTATAAAGATCCCTAGCGCTCTTCACACTTTTTCACATAATAATAAACATGAAAGAGAATACTCATCTATATGCAAATAATAAAACCATATATTTTTGTGGTGAACCGCGAAGTATACTCAGGCGGCCATAGTTAACCATATGTCATATATGGTAACAGTAGTGAAATTCATTATTTTAAAATAAAACATTAACGAGAATTGATAATTTACAAAACAAAAAAAAACAAACACATCAAAAATAAATTAATAAATAAGCTAATCAAAAAACAAAAATCTGAGGAGTTCTGGTGATAGGAAAGGGAGATATTTTACTTAACATATATCATAGAAATTTAGACGTCGTAAGTGATGTATACACATCTGTCTAGATATCAAAGAGATTAAAGGTTCTCAGATATACTTGTTCAAAAAATATTTTAAAACATGAATGAATTAAATATTTTCTGAGGTTCACTACAATAAATTTTTTATTGACTAGTATGAGAGCCAAGACATTTTAAATATGTGACAGAATTTATTATAACACAGTTTTAACAAATCAATACAGTTTTTTTGTAAAAATATTTATCAACTAAAAAACATTGTTACTGGCGCAACTCTGCAGAAAATCGTCAAAGTGAAAAATTTTTTTGGTCTTACGTCTACAAAACGATGATTCTCTTTGAAAGTATAGATATGAGGTTATTAGCAGGATATCTGACAAGGTATTTCAACCTATGATACCCCCCTAATCACTGGGTGCCTAAATCTATATTGTATCCTATTCTACTTTATACTACATATTGGTTTATACTACATATATCCGCTTTTACCTTTTAATTTCATCCTTATACGTGATAAATTTTTAATTACTAATTTTATTTAATTTTTTTTTTTTTTGTAACGCAAATTCATGTTGAATTCCATATAAAGTTATTGTAAGATAAACATTATCACTTCAAAACCATTCACCTGCAAACTGCACAAAATTTTATGAATATTAAGCGCATCTCTACGTTTACTGGCTGCGCATGGATTTCATTAAACGGAGAACAGAAATTGCATTTTAATGCATTTACGGCAGCTGCGCAGGTATCGCATTCAAAAGATATTTACTGCAAATTGCTATATATTTGCTTAATATAATTTTTTGTTGTGATCAGTGCGAATTTGGCTATTTCGAATTTAGTATCAACTAAGCAAAAAAGAATCCTAAAGTTATTTTATTTAACTGAATGCGATTTAATAAGCGCGCACGCAATATAAAAGTATCTGCATTGTAAATTCATTTTTTATTGTATCTTTTTTGTTTATGCTGCTGTTGTTGTTGTTTTTTTTTTATTATTATGGTTATTGTTACTGCTTTATATTGAACGGGCAATTTGTGGCATTTTTTAATATAGCGTACATTATCCACATTTTTATGGTCAATTTAGAAAGACGTTAATTGATAGTTTTGTATTCAATTGAAACAAAACTAATGAATTGTTTGTTGGTTACGTTATTCATATAAAGTTTTTCTGTGTTAGTAGTGTACTATTAAATATTTCAACTAATAAAGAGTTGCCACTTATTTATGTATTAATTAGAGTTGTAGTTTATGTATATGTTGTGTGTGTGTACACATGAATTTTGTTCGACTAAACTATATTTGTTGAAATTTTGAAAAATTAATACTAATTTGTAACATATTTTTAAAACAATTTTATATATAATGTTTTAAGTATTTAGAAAAAGATATTAAAATAGCAAATAGTTGTAATGCGACTATTAATGCATTTAAGTAACTAAACCATATCTGTTACAGTCATTTTTAAATAAATTTTTATATTTTCTTTATATTACTATTTGTATTTCTTTTTTATTACTTTTCTATTAATTTCGTTTTTTTTTTGAATTATAATTAAAAATATATTTTGCACGCTTACACCCAACGCAGAGCATCACTTAATTTATGAAAATATGCCATAGATCACTGTCCGTAATATGTGCCTCGCAACCAAGAACATGTTGCCATAAGCTGTAAACGTGTTGCCAG